AAACCGGCAACAAAGAAGCCCGCGGGTGAAAAGAAAGTGGTGAAAAAACCAGCAGGGGAGAAGCCAAAGGCAGCCAAAAAACCAGCAACTGCCAAAAAACCCGCAGCCAAGAAACCTAAGGTGGAGAAAGTTACCAAGCCAAAGTCTCCATCCAAGGCTAAGAAGAGCGGAAAAGCTACAGCTGCCAAACCCAAGTCTCCCAAGCCTAAGAAAGCCGCGGCACCCAAAGCCAAAGCAGCAGCAAAGAAGTAAACCACCCCCACTCGGCTTATAAACAAACGGTCCTTTTTAGGACCAATAAACAATACAAACGTAAAAATTATGTTCCAAATCGAATACAAGTAATTGTTAAAAAAAAAAAGTTAAGGTTTTAACTTCGTGTAGGATAAAAATTTTCTTTTTGATATTCTCGGCTTATAGTCAAAAATATTAGCAAAAGATGATGTACTATTTAGTACTAAATTATGTAAAAATTACTAATTTTTTTTTTTTTTTTTTTTTTCTTTGTAATGACTAGAAGAGAAAAGTATCAAAAAATAATCCAGGCTGTAGAGTCTCTTTGATTCTTCCAAATGAGTACTGACTAAAAACCATCATGGAGAACAGTTTGTACAAATAACTTTAGGCGACAAAAAGACTTGCGGTTGTATATCTATTGAAGAAATTTTTTTTTAATTAAAAAAAAACTTTTTTAACTGCATTTCGTTTTTGTCTTTAGATAGGACGATGAGAGGAAATCTTTGTAGAACGCATGAACACTTTAAAAAAAAAGTATGTCTTACTAGGATTGTTCAAACCCCTCTAGTTCGGTCCTGGTTCTGTACCGTAAAGATATACTTTTTCTCAAAAAACCTATCTATACATAGCAAAACCAAACAGAAGCTGATTCTGATATACACATGTATATGTTTTATGGAAAAAAGTATATTCATACAGTGAAGAACCGAGCCCATTTTCCATGTTTTTCAATAACCGGTGGTATTTCTTAGTTTTACTCTAAACTCCAGGATAAAAATCAGCCTATTACAGGCCAATATAATAATTGGGAACTTTATTTCGTTAAAAAAAATCCCCTTGGAAAAAAAAAAAAAAGAAAAACACCGAAGGACAAATTAATTAATGTCAAAGAAAGTAATTGTACTTACGTGCGTGTGTGTAGCAAACAACGTCCTTGAGGTGCAGTTGATCCTGGTGTCATCGGCCTACGATGCCCATGTTATCGGTAATTTGATTGAGACAAAACAAAGCGAGAAGACAGTAAGACACTGCACTTGCGACTGCGCTGACGATCAGTTGCCAAGAAGACGCGGTAAAGATTTAGTGAAATATAATAACGCGCACTTATTCACAAACACATGAGGTAATGAAAAGAAAAAAAAACACACACACAAGATTAAATTTTTCCGATGGGATCTAATGCAAATTATATCTACAACGTATTGCTCGTGAAGCTAACGCAACAAGATTTACATATGTACTGTCTTTACCATCTCCTACCAGAGATGAGTAGAGAGATTGCTAACGCCAATGCTACGGCGTGAGACAACTTTGTTCCACTGATCGGGGCGACCCGCCGCGGCCAGCCGTCGAACCAAGGCGCACATTTTTCGAAAGTGCTAGACTCGTATCGAAGAGCGTGCGCCTACAAGAAGAGAAGTGGATTCGCGTGGAAATGAGCATATAGGCGCACATTTTGGCGACACGTAGAAGGGGTATATAGGGGTACACCGAATGTGTGCCTACGAGGAGAGGAGTGGAAATGTTGACTATAGCTATATATCCGATATAGCGCTATTACAGATTTTGGTAATTTTTGGATGTTTGTTGTATGAGTGGATTTGTCTGAATCTACTCTTTTTTAGAGGGGACCTTTGCAACGCCTTGATCTAAGATTTGGCGAAGCCAAGTGCAGACGCTTGAAATTCTTTTGTCTTGTTTAATACCTTGTTACGCTTAGCTGAGGTCAAGAACGCTACTGGTTTTAGAAAATTAGCAGCTTCTTTTACTCCTTTATGACTTAACATACAGTATAATTGATTGAAATGTAGACGATTACATTTGAATAATAATTATGGCTCTGAAAAGAGCCGATTGTTTAGGTGATTTTCTGAAGTGAGTGTCTTAAGCCCGTTCTCCACGGATGCGTCTGGCCAACTGGATGTCCTTTGGCATGATGGTCACTCGCTTGGCGTGGATGGCACAGAGGTTAGTATCCTCGAAAAGTCCCACGAGGTAAGCCTCACTCGCTTCCTGGAGAGCCATAACGGCCGAGCTCTGGAAGCGCAAGTCGGTCTTGAAGTCCTGGGCAATTTCACGCACAAGGCGCTGGAAAGGCAGTTTGCGGATGAGAAGCTCGGTGCTCTTCTGGTAGCGACGAATTTCACGAAGGGCCACTGTGCCTGGCCTGTAGCGATGGGGCTTCTTGACACCACCAGTAGCGGGCGCGCTCTTGCGAGCTGCTTTAGTGGCCAACTGCTTGCGCGGGGCCTTGCCTCCGGTGGACTTGCGCGCCGTTTGCTTGGTACGAGCCATATCTTCACAATGATAATAATACGGGGCGAGCGACGGTTCAAAAGAGAATGCCTCACCCGGGGAAGCGCCCCCTTTTTATACGTTCAAAAACGGGCAGGAAAGAGAGACTGGAGTTTGGGGGGTCGTTGCCGATCGAACAGTCGTAGAGAGGGTAAAGTTTCGAGAAAGCCTATAAAACGGGGGTTCCAAGTCCCTTTCGGATCAGCGAGCCTGTGCAGGTCCACCAGTTCAGCGTAACTTTATCCTAACTGTAATAAGATGACTGGTCGTGGTAAGGGAGGAAAGGGATTGGGAAAGGGAGGAGCCAAGCGCCATCGCAAGGTCCTTCGTGATAACATCCAGGGTATTACCAAGCCGGCCATCCGCCGTCTGGCTCGCCGTGGAGGAGTCAAACGCATTTCTGGTCTAATCTATGAAGAGACCCGTGGTGTCCTCAAGGTATTCCTCGAGAACGTCATCCGTGACGCCGTCACCTACACCGAACACGCCAAGAGGAAGACCGTGACTGCCATGGACGTTGTCTACGCATTGAAGAGACAGGGACGCACTCTCTACGGATTCGGCGGTTAAGTTAGTTAATTTTTGGGGAAAAAACAATCGGCCTTTTTTAAGGCCACCAATATATCCAACGTTTACTACTGCCATCTCTTTCAGTTAACAATGTTTTAATCACTTATCTGTCAAGGACAAAACTCTTTAGCCTTGAATTAACAAGTAAGATTGCTAGTGAGTATAATATTATCTTAATCATCGTGTTTGATACAATCACCAAGCTGTCTGAGAAATCCAATCCTGTTGTGATTTCGGGAACGTAGTTTATATACGAAGATTACCGCGAACCTCCAACGCGGTCGCTTCGACCTTATAAGACGTCCCTGCGCTCTAGCACAGAACCCCGAGGACCCTCAATACACTCTAGGTCTTCAATCTCCCCTGCTTCCATCGGATGCATCATCTCCATCTCCATGATCTCGACGTAACGAACGCGACTTCAATTCGTACGCTCCCTTCAGGAGCACCCTTCTATCCGCCCTATCCTCTACGGCCTCAACCCTATACAACACTTACACAAATCACAAGTACGCTTCCAATTACACAATACCCAGCGGACTCACACATCTACACACACACACATACAATAACACAAATTTAAACTTCTCTAACTTCACTTATTCCGGCGCAAGCCAAGATTCGAGCTTCGCCCAGATGCGTAAGTGCCCCCTCCTCTCATCTCTTCGAGAGCGAGTCGGCCTCCGAAATTCTTCGTTATTTTCCTTTT